TCGCAGTCCGTAGGGTATTCATGAGGAAGTAGATAGGGAAAGAAAGTTTTTGGCTTTCTACTACTCCATCTTGATACAAAAAAAGACGAGGGAATCTTCTAAAGAAAGGAAGGAAGTAATCAATTTGAAAATAAATACTATACATGGATGAGTAGATCATGCAAAGAAGTAACATTCGTTGTGGAATAAAAATCAGATATCATTCACATGAGTTCTACTTCAAATGATGGTAACAAATTGCACTTACATGGAACACTGTCATCTTCACTGGTATACATCGATGTTTCGCCTTAAGACACTTGCCTTAAGGCTCTTCAGTACCAAATTGGATAACATTATAGCAACGGAATGAGCTTGATCTGCTTATGTCATCGATGACATCGTAATGACATTCATTCACCTATTTGATTTAATCCCACCCAAGAGGAATCTTATTTCTTTTTGGAATCAAGATGGAGTAGTAGAAAGCCAAAAACTGTCTTTGCTTATCTACTTCCTCATGAATACCCTACAGACTGCGACCTTTTCAGATCTATTGTGATGCTCCTTGTTTGTTAGAGCTCATTGCCTAGCTTTACCTCCTTAATAAGCCTTGACACTGACCCCTTCATATGGCTGACAGCCTCTGGTTTCTCTTTCCGCATCTTGCGTGTCCCAGCCTTGCTATCGCTTCGCATTCACAGAGCACATGCAATGCGGTTTCTTACTCTTCTTGACAGAACCTGCATTGGATTTCTTCTGTCAGACCCATGTTCGATCCTGAATCGGCTATGCCCCGTAAATAGACCCATCACTACCCTCACAACCTTACGGTTATGGTTTACCAGGTCTTCCGTCAATCTGGGCGATGGTTTCCTCATTACTGGGAGCTTATTCCACCAATCTATCGATTCGGCTTGTATCCATGAATTTATGGATTTCTTTATACATGCTTTCGCTATCCTGCAGAAGGGTTCTGGGCTGATCATAGCATTGGAAGCGCCTTCACGGGCTAGATCATCACATCGGCCTCCTAATAGTCCTTGTGACTCTAATGTCCGGGTACCCAAGCTAGAGTAACCATATTTTGGGTACTTAGCTCCTGTTTATTTCCTTGCTTCCTTGCTTTCTTTGAAAGATCCTCACATATTTTTGTAACAAGATGGAGAAGTAAAAAGCCAAACACTTTTTTCACACTTCCAAATATACACAGTAATTTATCAGGGCGAATAATTTGTTTATCTATTTCCTACGGACGTAATTGATCATTTTCATTTCAAAACATTTTGTCCATCTACATAGAATTGACAATAATGAAACGATCATTACTACGAACGACGTGCAATTTGGGTTCAATACACAAACATTCTGAAAGCAAAGTGTGCACTTCGTGTGAAATTGAACGCATTTTCATGCGACCGCAACAAATTAGTATTGATTATATTAACAGAATCTGAAATTGAATCATTAGGAGAAATTACAATCCAGCCAAAGGTGTGTTATGTTTAGAGTAACAAAATAAATAATTAAATTCAGTTCCAAAGCCTAAATAATGATGCAATCCAATTAAGGCAATATTTGTCAAGTAGGTACAATTAACATAANAAAAATACAGGTGCGTTTTTAATAATTCAAAGATGGGGGTGGCCCAAGTCAGATGACACCCTGTATAAAAGATTCATTGATATATTTTGAGAGCCCACATCAAGTGCCAATAGCAAAGTGTGGACAGATTTTCAATATGTCTGCGAATACAGAAGATATAGGCAAAAAAATAATTTGGGATTTTTGGTTTTTCCTGTATATCTCCAGAACCAAAAGAGCTATATTCGATTTCCTTACATCATTGAATAGGTTCTAAAATACGCAACTTTGCCATAATTTAACCGACACTCTATCTCTTATCGTTTACGATATCCCCATGTACAGAAACGAAGTTGGATAGCCCTGTATAATTAATTGAAGATTGAACTATTAAGCAGAAGAAAAAAAAAAGAAAGTTAAAAGATAGTCAAGCAGTTGGTTAGTACCTCGTCCACTAGATGGAGTGACATTTTGTGATGTTCGCTCCAACTTTGGAAGAGGAATGAAATACTCTGAAAGAATTCCGGTGGAATAGCATTGACTTTAGGTCGATGATGGTCACTATCTTGCACTGATGAGTGGCTAATATGCCCGAAACCGTTCTGCAAATGTTGCTTGTTCCATAATTGAAGGTCGGCTCTTTCAGTTGTATTGCCAATTGCATACGCAGGAAATTTTCTGTGAAGATTCCTGCACTGACGCCTGTTGGATATAATCCAACGCCCTTCGTGGTATTAGCCAGGGGAGTATATGTTTTCTGATATGCGTCAGTCCATTAAACCTACTGTGTAGGTATATCGAGACTGGCTTGAACATTTAAAGTTCATTTGCTTTAGATTGTTGACTGCCAGTGTTCAAGCATAGTCCACTGACTAATAAGAAAGTTCATTCACTACGTTTCAATTGTTAGTATCCACAATCGTCATCAGGAAGTCATCACCAAAATAGAATCGATTCTGGTTCATTTATTGAGAAATTATCGATAATCATACATAAAAAACAAGCAGAACCTCCATTTTTTTGACGTGACTGGAAAACGGATAACTATCCTTGCATTGATCTTTCACCATGTAGTTTATGTTTTCTGATACTTTCCATTTCTTCTACGCCGCATTCAAAGAAGTATACTTCAATTCCAAAAGATGATTTTTCGTCATTCGCAAAAAGCGACGGGCGTTTCAAAAACGAAACACATATTTAATAGAAGAACTTGAAAAGGACTTTCGTAAACAATGTGATACAAAGCGAGTGCAAAGCGTAATGGAAAACCGACAAAGCTGAAAAGATATATTTCCATCTGGGGAATACGGCTTTGTGCAGAGATAGTCTAGCAAGAAGACAAGCGTTTGTATCTTGGTCTATTTTCTACGTGAACGTCAACGAGGCAGTACTGAAAATTATAAATGAAAGATTCACTTCACATCGAGAATAGAATTCAAATGCATTTATAGCTGAGTGCAATTGTAATCGACATCTCAAAATGTCTGAAAATCTGAGACAGTTGGTTTTTGAGAAAACTGTTTCCATACATCCAAGTATTATTGTTTTGAAGAAAAGAGATTTGAAACTTTCTATGTTTTTACCACTTTTATTTGTGACTAACGTTACTGCAGTTTTGTCCTATAAGGACATTTTCAAACTCATACATTAAACTAACAATGGTTCATTACATGAGCCCTTATATAGCACCCCTGTAGGTACTAATCAAATCGATTTAGTCTATTCCCCGGTTTTAAAATTGGCACATCCGCATTGTAAACTGTAAATTCAGGTACTCAATCAAACCAAGTACCTCTATTAGTACCTACAGGGGTGGAATGAGCCCTTATATAGCACCCCTGTAGGTACTAATAGAGGTACTTAGCTTGATTGAGTACCTTAATTTACAGTTCACAATGCGGATTACAAATGGAAGTGGTAAAAACATAGAAAGTTTCAATTCTATTTTCGTCATTATGATTTCCTACCACGTAGTAACGGCTACATCCATCAATTTATATTATTGTTTTGTTTCTGTTAGTATATTGTGACTGACAACAAATTTTGGAAAACTGCAATGATACATTTCAAGTTGAAAAATTCGGGAACGTCCTGAACTATGTTATAATTTATCAAAATATTTGAATAATAATATGAGGATTTAGACCTCTTGATATAATACTGATCTTCAATATCAAATCAATCAATAAATACAGTATATGGTTCGAAAAACTCGAGCCAAATTTCTAAGTGTACTTGAGTATAGTTATCAAATATAAAAGGTCAGAGCTGTAGCTTGGCGGTGGCAAGATGTTCCCCTTCAAAGGGCGCAGGTACAAAGAGGGCTCAAACTCAATAAAGAGAAATTCCCCGTTTACAAACAGTTGAAATTTATTAAATAATAAAAAGTTCATGCTGTTGAAAGAAAATTTGTTATGTCCATCACTTTTGATACTATATTTTACCGTCTTAGGATTAATGAATGTTGTGTTCTCTTTCATATTGTTTTCGTGAATAAGCACAAACTCGGGCCATATTAACAAGGCCAGTGTTGCCAGATCATTTTCATGCCAAACAGTAGATTTCGTGTCACGAAAACAGTAGAAAAACAATAGAAAATATATCAGTTAGTAGTAGTTCGAGAGACAACAAAAAGATCTACTGCCAAAACAGGATGCCTGACAACACTAGACATGGCACTCTTCTCGTGCATTTTTTTTCATCCGCAGTGGATTGATTCGCAATATTCCACAGTCTAATTGCATTATGGCTTCGTTGTGAAAGATTATATCATCTTGCTCACCGCATTGTGAATAACACTGTGACGGATATTGCTGATTTCACTTTCACAACAATTATTGGTAGGAGCGTAATAACAAATATCATAACTTCAATTGTCATTGCACAATTATCACAACCTAATATCGAACGAGGTTGATTCGTTTGATTTTTTTCCTTAATTTTTTATATTTTGTATTGATTATTCTGCATTTCGAGAGGAGACAAATCCAACGAATGAAAAAGCATGACAATTGATCTGGTCACTGTTATTGAGTTATGATTGATGTGATCACCACGATTTTGCGAAAAAATTACCATGGCCACAGAATATCCTTGATACGACCCTGATTCACACGTGCTTCTGTAGAATGGCTGCGACTTGGTTAACTGACATAATAATTTGGGCATTTGCCATTGAGAAGTTGAAATAAAAAAGCAGGGATGGTTTTCAAAATATATTTTTTAATATTTTGGCTCTCTATATATAAATAGACTGCAATTAAGCACTTATTGTAGTGTTCTTTAATATTTTCCCATATCTAATAGTTATTGTCTATTTTCAACCATTTTCGACGTCTGAAAATGCATTTGCAACTATATTTTTGATATGTGTTCTGCCATCTATGAGTTAGTATGCAAAACTGATAGGTTTCATAAAATAATTCATAGGTCATATAAACTTCAAATAAATGTATATTTTCAAAAAAAAAAAGATGAAGAAAAATGTACATATCTACAATATCATCTATATAATTAAATCTCAGAATAATCAGTATATTCATATAATTATGTTATTTAAACAAAATGTGTACATATATTCAGAAATACATTGCTATCACACCCAGATAATAATAGGAGGTATCAATTTTATCTAGGAGAAAGAATGTCACGAAGCTATGTTTGATTTAGCAATTTAATTGGGAAAAAATACTTGAATATTCCACAGAGTAGAACTAGATCAACCTATTATCAAAAGACTGGAACAATGAATAATCATTCTAATTGAAAGATTTAAACAAATACCTCGAAAGTAACCCGACTGATTTAACAATATTCTAGGTGAATTTTTTTTCAATAGGAAGTGGTTCAATAAGGTATAGATGTAACATTGATTCCTCTAATCACTTAGTATACGAGTTGAAAAATTGATGACACAAAACTATTAACCTAGAATATTGGAATGTAATTATCAATTTTAGCCCTGTGCTTCTGAGCTACACATTCTGCAATCCAAACAATATTGCGACATTCCTGTTCCTTCAACTTCAAGTAAGAATAGAATACCCCAAAATGGAACTGCTGCATAAAAGCATTGATATTTAAACGAACTTCATGTTCGAAGAACTTATCCTCTAAAGTTTTGTCTCCAGGGTTATTACCAGCCCCTTCAAAAAGTTTTGAGTATTCTGCATAATACTCTGCTACAGCTTTCACTTGTTCATAGTCCTCGGCTCTTGCCAAAGCTGCCAAACCGTCAGGATATAATTTTCCACAGCGAGGATATAGTTTAGCACGATCATCTTTGCTTAGTTCTGTTCCAAAAGAGTTGATGGTTATAATAATGGCACGTCTATCTGCTTCGAATGCCAGAATTTCGCACATAGAGTCAGCAGTTGTGCCACCAATTTCCTTACAGAAATTCCAGAAAGCTTCCAAATATGCTTTGTACAGAGTATTACGAATGATTTCGATGTTCATTTCATCCAAGTCCTGTTCACTGATGCAATCCACAAAAAATGGTGCCAGAGGGGTATCAACAAGCACTGCATTATACAATTCTGCAGGAGTAGCTGCTACGTGAATTGCCTCCATTTGCTCAAAACTTCCTAGGGGATGGCATTTTGGAATAAGCTCCCCAATAGGCCTTTGATGTAAAGTGCCAGTAATAAGTAATATTATATTATCGATCATGTAACTGTAGGTAATGAAGTCAAGAAATGTGGAAAGAGGTTCTACTGCCTGGTTGCGCATATGCTGGAACTCAATAACGAGTTTCTCTCGAAGTTTTGAATCTATTGTGGAAACTGACAATGGTGATGGTTCATTAGCTAAGAAAGTCCCATAATCTGTACCTTGCAAATGTAACTTGAGATCTGGAAAGAAGGGAATATTAAATTGTTTCACCTTGAAATAAATTGGGTAGAAACTTACCCTCCAAGGTTTCACACTGAACCAAATTTAGGTAATCAGTTTGCTTTAGAATTCCACATTTGAAGCCACGACACAAACCTTCCAAATATCCATTATCAATGTTGAAAATGCACCCTTTCATTTTTCTTGTTTAATAATTTGACGGTGATTTGAAATTCAGAATATCTCAGGAGTTATGGTATAAACACCTCGCCCAACTGTCATATGATTAACGTCACGTCAAAAAATGACGTCAAATCACGTGAATTTTGGGGATTCGTGAGGCATTTTCTGGCGTTCATGTATTCGTCTTTGATTCAAATACATTCTTTCAAGCGTTGAAACCATGACGTCACATCAACTATGATTTGAAATGTATTCATGGTGATTCAAAACTAGCGTGAGGTTGGTTTTGAAAAGGAATTGGACGTTACAGGTGTTTTCTGGCGTGTAATCGTATTCGAACGTGTATTCAAAAAACGATTCGTAGTGAAGATATTAATAATAAGGTTCGCCAGAATGGAATGATTCAATTTGTGACAGATGTCAAATTCAATAATGAAAACAAACTGGTTACAATTGAAGTCGTGTTTTCTGATAATATACGTCCCGACTACTTCTCACCTCCTCTAATACTTTTCAATATTGACGTTGGAGTGTTATAAGCTTTTATTGTTTTCACTGAAGGCACAAATTGAAAAACATGCGCTTTCTAGTTACGAGTTCTGTGGGCTTGAGGCATTGAAACCTCAGGATGTCTACCAGTGTTGCCAAGACCGAATCGTCAAAATACTCACCAAGTCAGAGAAACATCTTTACATTTTACCCGCCTTCATTTGAAATTCCTCACAAAATTCTCAAATGACAATTTTTTCGAAGTTTTTTTAAATTATTGAAATGAAAACATTAAAGATTCCAGATAATTTAAACAGAAAAAAAAGGTACATTCTCATACATACATGAAACGAATGAAATGACAGTTTTCAAAATATGAAAACACTTCATTTTGAAGAAGAAATAAAAATGATAAATCTGATAGTTTTTTGGGTAGCACAATTAATTGTAGGTTCCTTGTTGTTTAACTTGAATGTACACTATATACTTCTGTTTCAAAATTTGTAAACAGTTTCAATGAGAAATTTGTGAGTAAATAACTTGAAATTATGCAAGGATAACAAATCCTATAATTCTTTGAGTAATAAAAGTTGATTGTAGGCTCTTTATAGCTCAATTTGAATACACTGTATTATGTTGTTTTGAAGTTATTTGATTGGTTTCAATGAGAAATTGGTTGCCATTCCAATTAAAAATCAATCATGTAAGGGTATTTTATTGGTACATTTTTTTATTTTGAATAAAATTTCAACTATTGGAACTATTTTCCTTCTTATTGTTTCAATATGTTGTCTCAATGATACTTTTTCATCTAGAATGATACCAAGAAATTTAGTACTAGGAGAGTATTTGATGTTTTCATCGTGGAATTTAATTGGATCTCTTGAATCAATTGAGATTTCTGAAGATTCAGTGAAATTTTATGGCATCGAGAGCCATAAAGATATTTGATCAAGGTCTTTTGAAATATACATTTCAACATCTTGTCCAGTTATTGTATATATTTTTTGTAAGATCATTTCCAAAAAAGTGTACGTACTTTCATTTTTCAGTGAATATTTGTTGAAATGTGAAATAAAACGAAGATTAAAATAGTTATATGCATTTAATCCTGAAACAATTTTACAAAACTATTAGTACTTACTCATTCAACAATAATTTAATTAGAATTTCATTAGATTAGAATAGTCCCATTTGGCACATTTTTGAAATGAATTAAGTAAATTTTTGATATCCAACACATATAAAATACTTTTCAAAACTACAAGTTAAAATTGTGCACATGAAACATGGGAAGTTTCAAAAATATAATACTTAATTTTATACATATATCATCTATACAAGTCCGTTATTATAACGTATATGAGAACAAACACATTTCAATAATGAAAAATATTTAAATAACAATATTTAGACTATTATTATATTAGAACAGCCATAATATAGCACAATGGAAAATTATGAAGTTTATCATTTTTGGTTGATTGTTCAATGAAATTTAAGAGGTAAGAGAACGAGAAGGTTAGGCCTTGAAGTTTAAAATATTGATCTACTTTGGTATGAAAGTATGTAGATCACATCTACAGTGATTACAGTAAGTATTATTGTACATATTTTATTGTCAGCAATTTCATAAGTTTACTTGAAATACACATTTATACAACAAATTCAAATTTTTGTTAATCTGAATATGTATGAACTTTTCAAATTTTTTGATTAATTTTGAATGATAAGTGTAGAATATGAATACTCTATATACTTCTTTCTTATAAATTTTTATTGTTATGGTAAAATAATAAATCGAGTATTGACAAATTCGACAAGTGAAGTTACAAGTTAGGTATTCATCCCCTTGCTTCTTTGAAAGTCTATTACAATACGGCGCAGTCAGAAAATGAAATGCTCTAGTTCAATTATGATAAAAACAGTTCAGATAAGGCAGACTTGGAAACCAAACTAGTTACTGGAAGACAAAAACTACTCGACCACATGATGTCAAAAGAGCTGTCATTGGTGACAGATAATTCCAAAATTATTAAAATAAACCCATTCAACATTAAAGGTGATAACCTAAATACATGAATAAACTTTCAAAAAACAAAGAGAATAAATCCCCAACTCACAACTTCAGTTTTTTATTATTTCATTAGTGATAAAAATATATGAGAAACAAGTATACAGCGTGTTCATATACTACAAAGCTTTTCCTTCTTCAGAGTTATCACTCCTGTGATGAAACTTCCTTATATTAGAAAAATTAGCTGACTATGGTCTTCCATCATTGTCGAAATTTACAAGGCTATTCCATCGATGAAACGGACTCTTATATTGAATGAACCTTAATAGAATGCTTTCTCCTTTTTCCAATTTGTTGTTCTGTTGTTTTTGGTATTTCCTTTATTTGCAAATTCAAGACTAATATTTTATCTGCTTGAGATAAATTCCGTTGCAATTCCGTTTTCTTCCACGGTGATATGAAGTAGTATGTTTAATTGTTATTCCCCTCTCATTTGCCTATTCATGAAATTCTCCAGATCACAAGAGTGATAACTTTGAAACGGGGAGAGCTTCATAATATATGAACATTCTGTATACTTCTTTTGTATACAATTTTGACACGTAAAGTTATAAATTAGGGATTTGTTCATTCTTTGAAGATCTATTATAACAAGGACACTTCATTTTGTATGATAATAGAGGTATTTAGGAAAACAAAATCATTATTTAACTTACATCTATGCTTGGAATCTTTGAATATTGTTCTGTTGAAATTTTTTTTGGTAAATACCTTCATCTTTTCATATTGAACTAACAAGAATAAATACCATCTGAAACAGAAGGGTGTCACTTTCAAATATAGAAACTACACTCCTGTCCATAGTAATGATGTACCCTGTACAAAAATTTTGATAGTGTAACTAAATATGTTGATATATTGATTTATGATTGACTCTAGATATGTTATTAAATTATTATTCTTAAAAATTTTCTACATAATAAATATTTACACTTGCAAACCCATAGGTCACATTGAACAATCAATTAAAAATTCTGCAGCTGTCATTCAAACCTACCGACCATCGTTTTCACCCAGCTTGTACTATTACTAACTTCTCGCTGACTACAACTTTCATTTGAGCTACTTGCAGTCTGTGAAACAGTCTTCGAGGTTGTTGTGGTTCCGCTGGAAACTTTTAAAGAGGAGGTGTTACTAGCTGACAGTCTTGCAGGTTTCAGTGGAATGGGTGGCGGAGCTTTAGTGGGTCTTTTTATTATTGGTCTTTTCTCTGTTGAAGAGGAAGAGAATTTTTCAAAGGCTTGATACCTTTGGGTGAAAGAAATCTTACTCTCGCTACTGCTGAAAGAATCTTGCTTAGCAACCATTTTTCCGCTAGAGTCCCTCACATATTCCTCAGTGAGAGAATCTTCCAAGATACTTTCGTAATAACTATCGGAATTTTGACTAGAATTTTTGCTACACTCGGACTTCGTAGTACTATGACTAGAATTGAAGGATTTTTGTCCAGTGTCAGTATCATTTGTACCTCCGTTAAGGCGCTTTTCAATTTCGTTAAGTACATCTTTTTCATTTATTGTCAAATCTAAGTGTTCTGGTTCTCCCATTACGTCGCAAACCTCGTTCTTATTTTCAGATAAATCATATTGACTACAGTTTCTGGAAACACTGAATAATTTCTGAGGATCCACATAATCTGGATGAGCAATTTTTTCGCCCATGCTTTTGGAGCCCTGTTTGTGCAAAGGGTATTTTTGTCGTTTTTGATCTTCCAAAAGCAAATGCCTGATGCGATGAAGAATACTGAACCTCATTGCCGACTTTCGGTAAATTTTGTGCTCTGGATGCTCAGTGTCATCTAGTTGAGAAGAGAGATCACTGAAACAAAATAAAAATAATTATTAATTAGCAATTTGAAATATAATATAAATTAGAATTAATTTTTGTAAGCATATAATGAAACAATATTATATTTCAAATTGTTTTGATGATTTGAGGGTTGTTTGGCAAATATATATAATGGGGAATGTTCCTCAATTTGGGTTATTACAGCAAATGCAAGTTTTAACAAAATAAAGTTGAGTTTAATTCATGAGTTTTTCAAATTCACTTCGAAAAGTATTCAAAGTGTTAAAATATGGATTTTATATACAATGATATGGAGATATGTTTAGGCTAAATAAAAATACAAAAAGTATATGAAGATTATTAAATCAATAAAACAGTTCCTCAAAAAAATGATGCATGTTACAATCTAAGAGAACTTCAATTTCACTGTCTTGCAAAATTGGTTTCATCAGTTGTTACATTAGTCTTGCCAAGGTGTAATAGCTACATTTCCGAATTAATAGCAATGTACCAATTTAACATTGTCAAGCAGGAACATTTTTCAAAAGTATAATTTCACTTAAATGGAAAATTGTCATTCGAAATTGAATATGTATTCAAATCACTGCTGATTCATAATTGACTCAAATCAAAATGATCAAATTGGTTATCGAATATTCAGGTCTCATTAGTCCTCAAAAAGTTATGTTGATTTATCTATTCAATTGTTCTTTATCTTAATTTAACTTTGTAGGGAATCACGTCATTCACAGGTACAAATTAATATAACTTCCTCTATATTTCCACTCTAAATAAAAATTATTGAGCAAATTTAACAGAATGTTTCATAATATCCCGTTCTTGCGAGACTGGCTTGAACATTTAAAGTTCATTTGCTTTAATAGAAACGAATCCCTTTAAATGTTGAATGCATTATTTCTTTCCTCCTTTTCAAGTACTTAAATATTTTTTTAAAGAAAAAGGTTGAGATGATAAGTTTAAAATGCGTTGATTTAGAGCTTTTTCATTAAAACTACTTGATTTTCGTAAAGAGGAACATTCCCCATTGCGAGTCATCCAAGAGGTAGTCTGATTATTTGACATTAACTATTATTCATATTAGAAGATGAAAATCCTGTCAGCAGTCCTGATTATATTAAACTGTAACTTATATTCTCTGTAATGTATCAAAATTATTTTTACTCTTTAACATTGTTATTTATGAAGTGTCAATCAGGTTTATAATTGTCTTCTTGTATTATATGCCTAATTCATTGACAAATTTCAATATTAACAAAATTTAAGTACTTTTGTATTACAATTTTCACTTGAGTAAGCACTTGTGTAGAGTAGGAGCACTAAAATGATAGTAAATGTAATATGCTGATTCTACCTCAAAATCCCATGCTTTTTCTTATGATGCTTCATTTTGCAAAGATCAGACCTCCGAGCAGAACCTTGTGGAATACCCAACTCGAAGTAGGTGTGACGTGTGTGAGAGTGAAACGATGTCATACGTATGTGGGTATGAGGAAGAAGGTGATAACATCAGTATGGAGTAGAGAAATATCAAAGATGGTGACATGTCAAAAGAGCACTAAGCCATATCTTCACTTATAACAATGGTCGCATCATCACATGAAGAACATCAAATGAAAGGAAAAGGAAAACAGAATTCATTGATGAAGAAAATAGCACCATAAGAGAAGCATAGGATTGTACTGGAAATATTTGGATATAAAAAATGAGCATAGTTGCAAAGGAACGTTCCTTTCTTTTCAAATCTAGACATTGTTTGCACATGCAGTGAACACCCATTGTTTTTCGTTGAGATACACCAAAAACACGAAATATCTACCATAACTTCAACAAATATTGCACTTTCACCTAAACTACGTTCAAAATAGTTTGTTTAAATTCATGAAGTACCAAGTTATTGTATCCTTATGACTTTCTCTAGTGAAGTTAAGAAATAAGTACTCACTTTTCTTGTTGCTCCTCTACATCAATATCCGGGTTCTCCTTCAATGACATATCATGCATCAGCCTTTCATTTCTACAATCCAGTCCCCCGTCTATGGAATCAATCTGATCATTGAGTTGAAAAGACCTCGGTAATGAATCTGATTTGGCAGGTACCTTAAGTTTATCATCATACCACACCATAGTGGGGTCATTTGTAGCATTTTTCCTAGTGTTTGGTCTACTAAGAGCCTTATTGAAAGTTTGGTTCTCCATGAGAATATCTGACACGATTTTTTCTATGTTATTTTTGACCCTGTCATCGGACCTCTGGTGTTGTTTGGCCTGTTCATCAGCCGTTAGTTCAGAATTATTTTGAGGTAAACATTCTAGGGATTCGCCAACCACTTCAAAGTTCTCTGAATCTGATAAGTCAGTGTAAAAAGTAGCGCTCTTGAATTCTTTGGCTTTTTTTAATTTGGTTATTTTCTTGGGCATGGTTTTCGAGTTGTACTGAGGAATCATACTGGGTTCAGATTTTCTTCTCCAATTTCCTGGTGACAGAATGGACCTATCTTGAGAAGATGCCCTTCTGTTCGTGAAATCTCGGGTTTTCCTCAATCGGCTCCTTCTTTCCAAGTATTGAGGGGTGGAATTCTGCCTGAGGGGTGACCACTTATCATTGTTCACGTCCTCTACAAAAAAATGCCTTAAATCAAATTAAATGATTTCAAATACTGGTACATTGAAAAATTCATTCACAATGCTCAATTCAATGATTGTGGGGTTCAAATTTCCAGTGTTAACTTTGAAATCTAGGAGAAAAAAAAATATAGAATAAAAATCAGGAAGCAGCTCTATTGAGAACAATTCCCATTTCTGAGATCAGCCCCGAAGATCAATAGATGGCTAAGTGGCCTATGAAGAGATTAACACTATCAATATTGCCTCTCTAAAAAGGAAGGTGTACTATACCTTGAAGAAAAATCAACTCATCTTTACTTCAGAAAAGAAGAAGTCATGGCTGACACTGCACCATAATAAGTCCTTTCATCTGTATAGATTTCTCAAGATTCACAAGACGAATGTTTAAATTTAAAGATATATATTTTTAGGAGAAAATAATAAAAAAAAAAAATATGAATCTTTGAGAGAAAGGAAGAAANTAGGTACGTATAAATTATTTCAACTTGATATAGGCGCTGTTGCCAATATGTGAATTGGAAACAAATCCCTTTGAAAATTAAAACCCAACATTTGAAACATCAATTTGAATACTTTTCGAAGTGAATTTGAAAAACTCATGGATTAAACTCAACACTATTTTGTTCAAACTTGCATTTGCTGTAATAACCCAAATTGAGGAACATTCCCCATTATATATATTTGCAACCAATGTCACTATTTTTCGGGAAGGACGTCGTTTTTTCAAATTTAATCCCGCTGGCGCGATTGGCTAGCTTTTCAGAAGTTTATAAATCTTGAATTTTTTTTTCCGATCACTCCGAGCAAAAAAATTCAGGCTTGCAACTCGCACCAGCGAAACGTCAGGAAGAAATTCCAAAAATCGACGGCCTTTGAACCCGAAAAATAGTGACATTGAAAACTCGGCCGCGAAAGCAATGTTCCGATTGAATCAGGTTAACCAAATTTCATTAATAGAATACGAATTTGTTGACAATTCTTGAGATGCAATAAAAGTGAGGAAATAAATGGAGATATTCTTTTCTCAGGAATTTCATAGTAATTGACATTAACTTTTACCATATGAAATTTTACTACGGACACAAATATTACAAACAATTTGAATACCTGCTTATAACGGAATCCATAAAGAAAAAACTTACATCAATATGGCTCTTGTAAGCCAAAGCACCCCCTTGTTTGCTTTTAGCCAGCACGAACATTTTCTCGAAAAGAAATACATGCCTACGTCCCCTCGCACCCACTACTCTAAAAGTGCCCTCTGCTATGAGCTCGCCAACGGTTGTCAGATCTGGACCATTCCAGCTGTACAGCTGAGACTGGATTTCTTGTACACGTACCGCATGCTCATGCTTACGCTTCATGTTGTTTATATCGGAGGCGATTCCAGTCATCGTTGTGAGTGCTAAGTCTACGGCAGGTTTGTGGACAGGATCACACTGCTTGGACAGTCTCTGGAAATAGAAAGTATATGAATAGATGATTATTTTTTCGAAATTATGTGGTGTATGAATCAATTGAGGTTGTATAATCAATATAAACTGAGTCAAATGTAGAAAATATAAATATCTATCCGTGATAGGAATCACACGTTAAAAGGTAAGACCTCGTTAAGACTTCTGAGGGTTGTCGTTCGTAGGGGTGCGACAGCAGGTTAACGGAAAAACAGATTTTGAACAGATTCGAGGTTGGGAAAATTTAATAGTAAATATTCATCTGACCACTGACATGAATAACGTTAAGATTTTGTAAGAATATTTTTTGGAGCCTGTGTTTTTTGGACTTGAGTTTTTAAACCCTGAATTATTGCATCCTGAGTTTTTGAATGGTGGAAAAGTATGGTTGTGAGAAATGTGGAAAACAGATGGACTGCCAATAAAGCTTCAATAAAGCTATATAAAATTCACTGTTCACTTATAATATTCTGATTTTTGATCAACAGTGAGCTCACGCGGCACCCATTCTGAACTGAGCTTTCTCATATTCAAATGCTCATCATTCAAAACGATTTTGTGTTTTTTTATGTTTTCTGGTGTTACTGCCTCATGTAGATGTCATGTAGTTCTGCATCATCAGTGTTTCTACGTTTGAAGTTAGCAAACCAACGTTTAATTGTTGTTTCTGATTGAGCAGAGTCCTTATAACACTTTTCAAGTGATTGCTCGCTTGAACGGTATTTTTTCCATCAAGAAACAGTGTCAAATCAAAAAGCAAAAGTAGCTATGAAACATATTGACACTGACAAAACTATTTTGAAAGATTATTTAAAATTTTGTGCAAAAGTTTTTTGATAAATCGGTTTTTCTGTCAACCAGCTATCACCTCCCTACGAACAACAACCCTCAGAAGTCAAAACTTGCACGAGCTGACTCCTAGCACGGGTTAGGAAGTAAAAATCGATCGTCCGGCCACATGGCCCCAACCACTGATTACCAATGCGTTCGGTTGAATGAGTGAAGCAAACCACACACGCCAACCCAACCGTCTACCATCCTGACTTAAGACATTATTATACTTTGGCTTTGAACGGTTCTGACTGGCTTATTTTCAATTACGGCTTGTTCGTGAGAAGGGTTTGATGTGACCGTTGCAGAGGGATATGGCTCAACTGACTCTCCACATATTCTTCTATACATTTGAGTCATCAATATCTATTCTGAGAGTTATAAATGGACAACAAGTGGTGGTTTTCAAAGAAAATTGTAGGATGTTTGTTTGAAGGTGATTGACAATGTTTCGTGATGAATTTCACTAGTTCGGACTTCCATTGTCTACTATATAAAATGATTTGAAATCCCTGAAACAAGTAAAAAAGAGTAATTAAAAAAGAATAGTTGAAAATAACAATTATATTAGGCAACAATAAACCAGAAATAAAATGAAATTGATATTCTGAATCTATTTTTAAAGGTTAAATTTTTTGACAAGTACATTGCCTTTATATACAATATAATGGGGAAAATGTTATTATTTCTGATGATTATTATGGTTTTAAGAAAGACGGATATCTCACAAAAATTTTCATGCAATTATAACCACAAAATGTTCTCTAAATTAACTATGCACGAAAAATTCTTTATAACATATCATTTATAAAAAACTATTCAAGGAATTGTTCGTTCCTGGTCTAATTAAATTTCTAAATTGATGTTCAGAAATAATCAAATGGTATTTTACTAAATAATAGGTGATAACAATGTATGTTCTATGTTTTATATTTTCTCGCAATGGTTTGTACCTTGACACACAAGCAAAATGTTTCTTTAGTTTGTTATCTTCACAATTGAGACAATTTCCAGAATTGTGTCAATAACAAAAATAAATGATTCAAAAATTTATAGCAAGTACATTCAAGTTTTTTACCATCCCTGAAATTATGTTTGTGAGAATTTGTGTTTTTCAACTGTTTCTACCTTTTCTGAACCCAAACAAAAATCGCGAGTGAAATAAAGAACTGTATATTAAGTGTGAATAGGACTAACTGACTCTCTAGTAATGTTACCAAACTTGAAATATTTGGCTAAAAAATCCGATTTACTAGAAGCTTTTTGTATTTATTATTGCCTATCAGAAACGATGATAGGCAATAATAAATATAATAAATATCAGTATTTTATGGATACCTACCTTTTTTTTTAATAGACCTTATAGTTTGGCTCCGTCATCAGATTATTTTGATTACATTTCCGCAGTACTTTCAGGTACTGCGAAAATGTAATGTATTGCAATTTTGGTCGCCAAAATTATTAAAAACAATAAAACCTCGAAGTGTATAAATGTTTCGATTCGAAATAAAAAAAGTAGGAATGTATTAAAAACATTATGGAGTAATAAATTTTGGTAATGTTAAAAATATTGAGTAGAAAAAATACTATTCCATAGAAAGGTAGCATTGAACAATTTGACTTTCACCTGCTAAAAAAACTGAAAGTGAGTTGTACCACAGACTCAAAAACCTAAAGACTTTTTGGACCAAATTGTGAAAGAACTTTGAACATTTTATTAAATCAATGATAAAAATAAAATAAAAACAACAATAAAAATTAATTGGCGCTCTGGGGAGACTTCATTGATTCCAGTGGCACATTTGCTTTTTCAGCTACAGGAAAACCCGGAAAAACCTGCAGCACCACATCATCTGAAGATCTTGATCTAAGAATGTTTTAATTTATCTAAAATCATTTGCTTTGTCCCATATCATTTGTTTTATGACATCAGCTATAATTCATTTCTGATTGCACTGAATGTGCGGAAGTTATTATGACAACTGATAACAATTTCCGTCCCGATTTAAAAAAAAGCAGCTATAATAGCTGAACCTCGCTCATTCATCATATTATGTTTTATTATATCTTTTTATTGTTTATTTCTTATTATGATGAATAAAGACCTGTTATGATTATTATCTGTAATTTCTTTTTTTGGATTACTGTGAATTTTAAAATATTTTGATAATTCAAAGATAAAAATATAAAATATTGGATAATCTTTCAGTATTTTTGTTTTGGCGACAGGTAGGTACGGAAACCCTATGACATCCGTGGAATTATTCATAAATAGCAGACAAGATAATTGAAACAGACCTAGTTCTAAATTTTGGGGGTAATTGCAGACTGTTTTCATTATGAAGAAAAGAGTTACAAAATTCACGTGCGATGTTAAAAGTCGAGATTCCTACAAACTCTTGTATGAACTACTTAAAACTTTGACAGCCTTTGAAATCTTCATTTTAGAAACAGTCTGTTTGATTACGAAACATAAACTGATATCATAATGGTCTTGAAATGTTTAATAATTTACCTGGTCAGTAAACAAATCATTATGTGGTAGAACCTTTTATATATGAAACTATATATGACTGAAGAACATTTGCAGCTTTGTCAATTAGACAAACGACACGAAAGATCATTATAATCATCTTACTTTCAAAAGTTCAAAGGGAAATTTATGTTAGATTACTATTTCCATTATGAAGTCACTGACCCATTATTTGATATAGATTTTCATGAGTTGATATTTGCGTTCATATTTGTCATTTTCAAGTACATCGAAGGTGCTCAAAAGTGCACCAATTTGAAGCAGAGTCTAAGAATTTTTAAACAGTGCATGTGTCACCGATATATTAAAACCTATGACGAAAATATAAATTCATATAATAGAGACAACAGTAAATTAAATATTTCGTTCCAGGAATTCTCTACAAATTATAATTACGTGGGTGTCGAATGAAAAACGGGCGAGGAGAATTCGAGAATGGCTGACTGGTTTCAAATAATTTTCAAGCACCTTCATTATGTCAGATCGGATAACTTAACAAATACCCGCATTAATCACGATCGTTTCTCATTTTAATACAACCACGTTATACCGATTTTTACGTATTTGCGTCCAGACAAATCTCGAAATAATCTGCAAAGAGAGGCGTAAAATAAAACCAGTTCTAACCGACGCGACGATCTGGGTGTTATAAAGGAGAATTATACAACTCACCTGTTAAACTTATATATCTCTTCTAAATTGCTGAACAGATGTTGCAGATGCTGAGCAAGTGGGCAGTCTGAATCGGCTTTCCAAGGTTCCAAGTAACCCTTCGAAAAATACAAACACACGCTGTAGAAATAAGATAAGAAAAAGAAATGCTACAACACATTTTTATGTACTACTGACGAAGGCGTTTATTGCATTCGTAATTGATATGTGCTATGGGATATGAATTGTAAACACGTTCACGAGGGATCCTATATTCTATTTATTTTAAACACACCTAACAAGCAGAAAAACGGTAATTCAAATAGTACGTTTCAATTTTCTACAACCACCAGCATTTCGAGTTTCATAATGGTCTGAATGTCAAAGGGGTGACTTAAAATATGTTGATGAATTGTGAGATCATACAACACAAAATTCCTTTTCATTCCATCTGTTCTAATACAACAAAGTAGGGAAACTGATCGATTACTCACACCTTCGAACCAATCATAATTGACCAGACTCATAACTCACTGCCTCTAGGCCAATCGCAAATGAACAAATCCATTACTTCACAGTAGTGTTTCAATTAGTTTCAATCGCAAGTAAGCCTTGAAAATTTTCTACTTCAAAATATATTCTCAAACGTCAAACTTACTTATAACAATGGTCGCATCATCACATNCAAAAACCAAGGAATAACTATATAAAAATCATTCAAATAACATTTCATTGTGAGATTTTCAATGGACAGTTTACAAAACCGAAACACGTGTTTCACTATTCAATAGCTAAAGTCGCATGTTCTGGATTTTTTTCAAGTATCTGCCAATTCCATCCATCCATTTATGATGCAATCGGCAAAAATGATTTTGTCCACTTCAATTTTCGCGAATTATTGAAACCTTCCGTACCTACAAATCGTTTGGTAACTTATCAATAAAGTAATGTGTAAACAGTTATTTCACGAGTGTAAACTTCATGGATGTAGATAACTGTGTCAAATTTATTTTCCGAATTTGTTGGCCGTGGTTGCAAGTTTTTATGCTTAACGTTTCGTCAACTACTGCGGTAAACCTTATCAAAGACGATGAGGTAACGAACGTTCTAGTTGTCCTCCAGCAAATAGTGTATCTGCTAAGACAATTTGAGTACTTATGACATTGATAATGGGCCATATGATCGAAGAGAAATAAAAGCACCTGCTGTGATGACAGAGATTTTATTCATTTAGCTCATATGTACCGGCGTAGTAGACGAAACGTCATGCATACAAATTTGCAGAGCACGTCCAATAAACCTGAAAAATAGCTTTGATAAGAGTTCTTTTGCGCTTGAGTGAAAGAGCAATCTTCGCCTTAGGATAATAATTGTCAAATGATAGGACTCACTAACCATTCAATATATTTATCTACTTCAAATGAAAGAATTCATTATTAATATTAATGACTTCGTCTCCCTTTATAAATCCGTCCAATATTCGGAAACATTCATCTTTCAGAATGTTGAATAATATATAATTATATTAAAAACTGCATAAGTGCAGATTTCCCACGAAATTATGCATTATTACGGCAAACGATGTTGTGAAATTAGGTTGATTTATATACGTGTTGACACTATTATGTGCGTGGGTGGGATATATTTTTTATCAAAGTAAGATAATTCGCGAGTCGTGGTTTATTTTTACTCTCCTAGATACATGAATCCGTAATAAATGTAATCGTGATGCCATTTTCTCGTTTCGACAAATTATGCATGAATTACAATCGCAAATTGAATGCATGCATAACTGAATAAACATTATTAAGGATCAGCTTCGGAAACAACTACTTTTGAGATTATTAAATGAGCAATTTCGTGCGCCCACTATTTCCCATTAAAAATATTTTCAGTAGTCTTGGCAGACACAAAAAATAAATGTTGTACCACCGCTGTTGACAAAAAATGTTGATGTTTAGAAATTATTTTTTCATTACGAATATTTCAAGGAAATTATCTTTAGCCTTCGGCTCTTGATTCATTTTAAATATTAAAATTTCACACTGTTATTTTTTCTGTACTGATAGCGATTGGTGATTCCAAAACAATACCTATTCGGACTTGCTCTGATTCGAGTTAAAAGCTCTCAACTAATGTGGAAAAGGATCAGATATCAACAAATTTTCGAAAATACTGATTAAATGCTCTAATCCAGACTCAACTTAATTAGAGTCAACAGTTGGCGAATATATATATGGAAAAAATTCAGATACTTAACAATTGGATTTCAAAACTACTAAATAACCGGATACCAGGTTTCAAAAATAATTTAATACATACCGTTTTCATTCAAATCCTGACCCAACTGCAAAACTAGTTGCCTGGCATGTTTTGGAATCACAGCAGAGTAGTTCTCTAGAATTACTTGTTTTATCTGTAACGTCCAATCTCTTTTATGTTGGGGTGATCTGGCTTTAAGCGTTGACTGATGACGAGGATTGTCAAATGATATGACTTGGAATGAAAGTGGTTCTCCTCTAACCTGCTCCACAAGCATCAAACTGGAACACTATGAAATAGAAATAAAGATGTAATTTCATTCTACAGTTAATTGAGAAACATTTCACGGTTCAAATTTCTAGTAGAGTAAACCTTTTATTTAGCCAATGAAGATTTTACCAAATTTTCAATGGGGAATGTTCCTCCTGACGAAAATCAAGTAGTTTTCATAAAAGAGCTCTAAAACAACGCATTTCAAACTTATCATTTCAACCTTTTTCTTTAAAAAAATAATTAAATACTTAAAAAAGAGGAATGAAATAATGCATTCACCATTTAAAGGGATTCGTTTCTATTTCACCATTTGGCAACATCGGTTATAGCTAATAAAGG